GGCCCAGCCAGAGCCCGGACTTGAATCCGATTGAACATCTGTGGGCTGATCTGAAGAGGGCTGTGCATAGGAGATGCCCTCGCAATCTGACAGATTTGGAGCGTTTTTGCAAAGAAGAGTGGGCAAATATTGCAGAGTCAAGATGTGCATTGCTGATAAACTCATACCCAAAAAGACTGAGTGCTGTAATAAAATCAAAAGGTGCTTCAACAAAATATTAGTTTAAGGGTGTGCACACTAATGCAACCACATTATTTTAGTTTTTTATTTTTACTTCCCACTGAAAAACAGATTTCAGTTTGTTTTCAATTGAGTTGTACAAGTTATAGGTCACATTAAAGGTGGCTAAAGTTCTGGAATTATTTATCTTGGTCTCGTTTTTTTACATCACAGAAACCTGGCATTTTAACAGGGGTGTGTAGACTTTTTATATCCACTGTACATGACCACCCTGCAAGTCGGAGCACTCTGGACCCAGACCTGTTCATCCACACTGAGGTTTTGTTTTTCCTTAAACCTCATGTTGCCTGGATCAGAAACCGTTCACTGTTTTCATTCCTTCTCTCTTTTTGCTTCTTGCTGAGCTATTCATGTCAGAACTGAGGACAATAAAGCACCAGGACCTTCGGCCTGTCCTCATTTGTTTTCTCAGTTTATTTGCTGTCACTTCAGCAGAGACTGACCTTTAACTTCAGCTTGAAGTCGCACTTTATTCACAGTTTGAATTCTTCACTATGTCTGGGCTGCACTGGAAACCACAAAGTGGATTTATAACTGAATTTCTGCTGGAATGGGGGGCAACTTTTTTTAAGTTGTGCAGCTTACGATATTTTTTCCATCTGAATCTCTGGAAACTTTGCAAATAACAAATATTTATCAAATATATAATATATTGTACATATTTTTAAAAGGCTATCTGGATTTTTCAAACATGACCCAGATGTAAGGTTGCGCTGAAACACATGAAGTTACACTGAAGTCAACATAAGGGCTCGTAAAGTGAACAGAAGCTTGTACCAACAGTATAAGCAAAAACGAAGCGTCTTTTTTTTTTTAACTTTATTTTTATGTGACAACGTGTTGATAATGTTATGTGATTACTGACCACACTTGGTAAGGTACTCATGTACATAATGTGTGTTGGTAGCACTTAATTCCAATGAACACGAAGCTTTTCCACATAATGACATTATATTAACATCTTACATGTACAGTTGTGTCACTTGTGCATGTTTACAACTCACCAGTGATATTTAAGACAGGGCACTCTAATTAAGTAGAAAAACAAAAACCTCTCAGGAGGAGCAGGATTTTATCAAATGTAATGTTTTAATCAGCTGAGCAGCATTTTAGAAATTAACTTCAGTTTTGTTTGCTGCAGCCAGAAATGTCCTCTTCCACAACTGCAAGAGAAGTGATTGTCTTTGTGATTAGTATGAACTGACTGTATGAGGTTAGTTGACTAGTCCACTGTCTGATCAGCTGTGTTGTCTGAAGTAAAAACCTGCTTCTTTGTTGTTTCACATTTAGCAGGGACCCTAGACATCCAGGTCAACTCTGACCCTCCAACAACAGGCAAAAGATTTGGAAAAAGTAAGTGAACTTTGAGTGTAGAATAATTTATCACAGACATGCTAATGTGATTTTATAATTTGGTATAAATTCCAAAAAGCTGGTGGTTAGATCACTCACTGACCATTTTATTAGGTACACCTGTATAATTGAATATGATGCCCTGCTGGAATATCTTCTGTGAAGCTCATAATGTTTCAGTTTCTGGTGAAATTGTCAGAAATGTTTGAAGTAAATGTTTATTTGTGAGAACATAGTTAAAGTGTCCTGAGATAACTTTTGTTGTGATTTGGTGTCATACAAATAAAACTGAATTGAAAAATCATGAGCTTCATAAAGATAATTGTTATGGCAGTGTTGTTGTACTGGATTGCCTTCAACTGTGCACGTGTGCCTAATAATGCTCACTGAGTGTGTTTATGCTGTAAATTACCACAAATCCACCTGCTGACCATTCACACTAGGTTAGTAGTTCTCAGAAACATCTCCTTACTGCATGATGTCAGTGTTGTTGATTCTTTAGCACTGTGTCATTATGTATTTACATTCTTAACAGTTTGTGCCCAGCCTGGTGTTTTAATGTCCTTTTTCATCCATGTGCTCTTCTAGCTCAGAGAAAGGAGTCAAGGTGGCGACGCTACACCTGGAGGCAGCTGAGCCTGTGGAACTGCCTCATGTGATGCATCTTTGGTAAGTGAGGACTGTGACGTTTGGTTGCTACTGTTTATGTTCACTATCATACTGTTACACTCTCTGACCCCGGAAATGCTTTATGTTAATTCAGCAGCAGATTATTCATTACTGTTTGTGTCCGTGAGGTTTATTATATGAGGTGTCTATTAAGCAGGATTGTAGTGCTAATTATTCACGTTTCAGAGCGCACTTATGACGCTCGCCCATAACACCTACATTAATTATTTTGAAACTTGCTCAGCCCAAGTGGGAGAGGGGATCCACTTAGGTCATGTTTCACTAATCTTCATTGGCCTTTTGTCCACTTTATGACACTAGAAAGCTGTATGTTATTATACATCATGCTGTCTGCAGATGTGCGCTGCTGAGGTTGCACAGCTTACGAAGTGTCTTTTTAAGAAGTGTGCTTTTATTTGAAACAGCTTCCAGTATATATTCATACAGTCTGACAGGCAAACTAACAAGATTATGTTGTGACATCATTATATATAGTGAATCTCATTTGGCAAAAATGTTTGAAACTGACTCTAAACAAATTGTTGGTGTTTCTTTTAATAATCAGTATTTCAAACTATATTATAAAAAGAAAATAAGACACAAAGTGACAGTAGTGAAGCGTTTATACTCGGGTTTTCATGCTTTTTTTCTTTAAATCTAAACTTGGTGTGACGTTTCTTCTACGTACATTTATTCGTGGCAGCTGTACAACATCTTATAGTGTTTAAAGTTGTTTTTGCTGATTGGAGTTGTATTTTACATGGTGGAGGCACAGTTTTATCAGGACACCGAGTCCACAGTGGATCATATAAACGTGATGAGGTATTCCGGGTAGGCCTGGATGTCGTTGAAGATGACAAACATGGCTGGTGTGGCAGGGTTGTTGGTGACACTGTCGTATAGGTCTGCGGCGTTCCCAGAGCTTCTGGCAGGCGGAGCGACGAGCCCAGGGCTGCCCTTGGTAAAGTCTCCAACCAGGACCCGGGCCAGGTACATGCGTTTGTGCCCTCTGGCACTGGGCTTGGCGTAGCCCTGCGCTGAGTAGGCAGGGTCCACAGCAAAGTAAGTGCCATTACCAAACATTGCACCTGTAAGACGAGACGTATAAACAAGGACTGTTGTTAAGAATCGTCGCAGTTTGTATTTGAACAATCCGGTAATGATTGTTAAAATCCCAAGACTGATCTTTGCATCTGTGCTGCGTAGTTACTGCTGGCGTAGTAAACCTACCGTTTTTCCCTGCGTAGCTGCGGTTGAAGCCCTTGTTGTTGATGAGGTCGATGGAGTTGGCGTCGGTGCCGTGAAACAGCACCTTCTCGTTGTTGGTGTGTTTGTTCTTGGCCTCCAGCTGTTTCTTCATGAGCTGGTAGCTCTGCCACAGAGTCGTGTTCTGGACCCGCTCAATCTGTCAACACAGGACCAACAACGCATCACTCATTCTGTTTACACTCTGCCAGGCCGACTGTTTTGATTCGCTGTGTCCTAGTGTGGCCTGTTTGTTTAGTGCTGGTGAAGACGGGCTGGTGTAACATCATCTAACCACTTCTCATTGCATCACTACAGAATTCTCAGAGACCCCGTTTACACTTGGTTTAAGATGCTGCAGGACGATCTGATCACAGGTGGGCAGTGATAAATACAAGTGTAAACAATCACCAAGGCGGATTGTGATCCGATCACTGAAAACACTTGACAGACGTGGTCTGGGACGCATTTGAGCACATATCTTCTATAATGTAAACTCCAACACGGCCGTTCAAGGAAAATAAGTCAGTGATGCAGGATGTGGTGGATGCTGTGCTGAGAGCGCGCCAACACTCAAAAAAAGAGAAACTGATAAAACTCTGTTGATGTGTTGTGGAAGCTTCCATAATACATCCCTGTTCAAATGTGACACTTGTTTACTTCAGTTAGGGAGACTACAGACGCTCCTCTGGCTACAGACTGACGTATTGTGGCTGTGACCATTTGACATTTAAGTGTAAGTAGTGATGTCTGAACACGAGTGGCACCTTGGAGACACCTATACTGACAGGTGTGAGCGGTGATGGTCTCGGCTGTCCACCTGTGTTCGGATCACTGAGAAGCTTCTAATTCAAAGTGTAAACAGGGCCAGAGTGAACTGTTCCATTTGAAACAGAGGCAGAAAATATTCAAGGCTGTCTGGTGTCACCACATTTGGTAGAACAGCAGAGAATCGGCAGCTGTGTAGATAAACACAGACCCTTTCGCCGCCATGGTGTCCATCAGTCTAAAGTCGATAACCCACAGTGACAAAGTGAAAACGTTTGTAGGAATCAGTGGTGTGAGTGATGAGCATGTGAACGTACACTGATGATGTTGGCAGTCAGACCAGTCTTTGTAAGTTGTGCCTCCACGTCTGTGTACTCCTTAGATCCTCCAGTCAGAAGAAAGAGCTTCACCATGTCGCCCTTCATATCCTCCCAGTGCGAAGGCAGAGCGGCGTCATCTGCAGACATCATCATACCAGTGATCATTTGAAGGTAGGACACTGCTCTGATCCACATGTCACTGTTCAGACCGGGCGTCAGTGTGTGTTTGAGCTGTTGTACATATTTTAAACTGACAGTCCAGGTGCAGCAGGATGGGAAGCAACAAGGGTCATAACTCGTCTGCTGCTCCTGCTGTTCTGTTTTATATGTTTGTAAAAATTCTCTGGTGTGTAAACGGATGCCGTCCTGTGGCGACAGAACCTTTGTGCGTCTGTTTACACCAGTGAACTTGGTGAGATGTGAGAAAGAGTTGATCAGCTGTTTCATGAACACTCCCATGAGCCTTTGTGTCAGTAGGAGAAAGGAAAAATAAAAAGGCTGCTTCATTTCCTCATGTCACCAAGTTCACTAGGAAGACTGGAGAAGTTCTACTTCTACAAAACACTTTCACACCACCACAGGTTATAATGTGCAGGTCTGCTGGTGACTAGATGCCAAGAAGAACCAGTGAGTTGTTTTTACAGAATCACTAAGGAGAACCACTGGAGGATCTTACTTCCTAACCATTATTTACTAACTATGGCCAAAGACCTTGTTGCTACACGACCGTGTACAGTCAGTGGAGCAGGAAGTGGAGCGTCAGAATCAGTCTGAGAAGCATCAGGTTTATCACAGTGGCCGCTGTCTCTACATCCAACGCTGCTAATAGGTTTACACTGTCTCCATGGTAACGTCATACTTCCTGTTTCCTGTCAGTGTGATCTGTTCACGGGGTTTCCAGAACACCGTCTTAAAAATAAAAAAAACCACAACATTAAGTTCATATTCATTATATAGAAACTTAGCTAGGATCCAGACCAATCAGGTGACTACCCATAATGCCCGTCTTCTCAAATAGTGATGACAACAACTGTAACCTTTGTCAGAGCTGGACCTTGTGATTATGGGAGCATGAACAGTCATCACTCTTGTGAATAGAAAAACATTTACAGGAAGGAGGAAGTATACTGTTGCCATGGAAACCGTGAGTTACTGTGTGGCTGTGACTCGGGCCTCGTATTTATGCCTCCATGCCGGCGACAGCTCAGGAACGGCTTGAGGTAATTTCATCCAGAGGCATACAGCTGCAAAGCGTTAGCCTGGATTTGTTTTGGAACATTGAGTTCAGAGTTAATGGTTACCAGTCTATTTCTGTCACGCACCCACAGATGGACTGAGGAAAACCTAACCTGATGAGTCTCAGCCAGCTTCTGAAGTGTTCCACCCCCCCACCAGGGACTGTACGTTGTCTCATTTTGAGACAGTAAGACATAATTACACGGTAAGGTCCTCCATTTTCTTTTCTTTGGTGAATTCAACACACAACAATAAATTCAAAATACTCTGAATCTTTTTTAAAAAGTCCTTCCTCATTTTTTGTGCACTGGTTGTATGGGCGAACGCGTTTCTATCCAAGATAACTTTGGGTTTTGGCTGTGGCGACTCCAGGGCTAGTGCCGACTTTGCCATCACTATGTCTGCTGTAGAGATTTGTTGAAACAAAAACTTGCGTTAGCCTGCGACAGTCAGAGCATTATTCAGGCTGAGCTCTGAGTCAGAATGATACCAGATACGAGATATAGCGGTAGCAGCCATTACACCTTGTCTGCTTTCCTTCTGACCCAGAGTTAAGTGTGAGAAACACCGACTGTCACTGTGTTTATTCTGAGGCTAAGCAGTCGCCCTGGTGACGGCATTCAATGCAGCTCTCTACAACAGAGGCTGTGATTAGCAGCAGCTATAGAGGCACCACTAGAGTGTGGCTGCCAGAGGGTTTGGGTTGGTTCAGCCACGTAGGACAAACTTTAGGCTAAACAGGTTTAAGTGCATGACAACGCTATGGAGCACGGTCATAGAAAAACCCTGCACAGACTCCACTGCACTGGGGTCGGGTTTGGCCCGATCCATGCTCTAGCCACTGTACCCGCTGTGAGGTTAGGGGGGGAAACAGCAGGTTCAAGGAAACCAAACTGTCCTTTAACAGGTTAAATAAGGACTATGCCAGTAAAGCCCACTCACCCTTCAGCTCTTTCCTAAGCAGCTCCACCCTTTTAGAGCTGACTTCTGACACAGCAATTCTTTGCATCACCTTGGCGTTGTACATCTCGTTATTGATCTTGACCTTCACAACCTGTTTCCTCTCCAGAGCCTCCTCCAGCTGCAGGTTGGTGTACATGTCGAAGGGCACCGGGAGCCCATTAAGGTCCTGAAACTGCCACTCGACCAGTCCGCTCACCAGCAGGGCTCTGCTCCTCAGGTTCTCTGCCCGCTCCACCCTCCGGATGATGTCTCTGATGGTCAGCAAGAAGACAAAGAAATACCTTAACAGCCAATACTCTGGGCTGAAGCTCAGAGTCATGTGTCCCTGGGTGCTGACCTGACTGTAGACTCAGCGGTGAAGACGTCCCTGGTCAGCCCCTCCAGCTGGATGCTGGGATCCTGGGCCCCCAGGCCTTTGTCCAGACAGATGCTGACCGTCAGCTCCCTCTGCAGGGCCTGCAGCTGCTCCATGTCATCCTGCGACAGCTGACTGATGTACGGGTCCGTGATGGTTCTCTTCGCCTGCTCGGCCACAATCAGGTCCGTGATCCGTCTCTTGGCCTGACTCACAGCCTGGGGGGTGGAGTTACAAACAAGCACTGTTGAATTTTAATCATCTCATTAAAACATTTTCATCTGTTCTCCTGCTGTTTTCCCTGTCAGATCAATAAATCCTGAACTGTATAAATCGTTTGCTTTCTCTTGTTGAAAGTCACCTGATCATTTAATGTCACGACTCTGACACATTTCTCCACGTTTAGTCTCAGTCGCAGTGAACAGACAGTGAACATTCTGACAGCAGCGCATGTAAACCTAACTGGCGTAGCAGAGTCGGTCGTGGCACCTGAACAGGTCTCAGCAAGAGTTCAGAGCACGTAACTCACTAAAAACCAGAGCTGTGATTTTCTGTGTACACATTCAACAAACCTTGTCATTACTGTTTGGTAAAGGTGTTGGTTTTCTACCTGTAGACAGAGCCGGGCTGCCAGGTTCCAACCTGCATGCTAAGCTAGGCTAACAGCGTCCTGACTTTATCACACATACACACTGGGGTCATTTGTTCACACACTGGCTTCTGTACTCAGGATTAAAACACATTCACCAGGGAGCAAATTGTCACCGGACAGAAATGGAAACTCACATCTGGAGAGTTTATCAGTACCATTTAGAGAAACTCTGTAGAATGTTCAGCAGCTCCAGGTTTCTCTTTAAATCCTTCCACCACTGTTGTGCTGACTGCCGACCTCACTTCCTGCTCACATCGCATGTGCTCTTTTGCATCTTGTGGACATGGTGCACGAGTTTCTCAGGACGTGCACAGCAGGGTCGTCATGATGCAGACATATTGTTTATAGCAGGTCTATCAGTGACCCGAGGGCTCTTCTTTCCTACCCGTGTCCAGCTGTGCTGCCGCCACGTCTAACAGACTATTTGCTGAACAGTACCCATTCAGTCATAAAATAAAACTAAGCTCAGTGAAACTTTGTGGCAGCTGTGATTTGTGTGCACGTGCAGACCTCCCTTCTAAGCAACGCACTAACCCAAAGTGAATGAATGTGTGCTGACCTTCTGGTTGTCAGCGCACAGCTGAAACACCGTGGACTCGAACTCCTGCTGCTCCAGAAGAGAGGCGTTGGCGTTGAGCTGCTCTTCATGTCCCATAAACAACGAAGTGAAGGAGTCTGAAACAACATGAAATGATAGTGTGACAGAAGGACGTGAGACCAGTGTGTATGACAGATACTGATCCTCTGAGAGCAGAGTTATCACTGGGACCGTTATGAGTCTCTGTTTTGTAGAGAGTGTCACCAGTGTTCAGCTCTACACCTGCATTACTAACTCTCCTGCCTGATCGTGATCCAGGTCAACGGGAGATGATTAGACATCAGTAGGTGGAGCCGGTCACTTTAATACCTTTGATCTTGGTGAAGCCTCCTCCCCCTGTCTGCTCTTCATGCTCCTGTGGAACTCCGCTATCATTGCCGGCTGGAAGATCAGGATCTTCACACTGCGAACAAACCTTGGCTGCTTCTTCCTTACAAACGACATCACTGCTCCGACCATGGCGTCCGCCACCGCCGCCGGATTGGCCCCTCCCTGACCTGAACAGGGAGACAAGGACCAGTGATGACGATCAGAGGGGTGGACACAAGGATCAGTGTGATGAGAGAGAATAGTCTGAGTGAAAGTCAGCAGTGAACACAGACCACCGCTGTGGGGTCCTGTAGCGCCCCCTGCAGGCTGCAGAGCTCATTACAGACACAGTTTTGGATCCAAGTCAGGGTCCGACCCACTTCCTACACTCTGTTAATAATCAGACACACTCCCACTAACAGAGCCCAGTAAGACCAGAGGTGTGAATCAGCGAGCACTGGGACATTTCCACTAACACTGTTGATACGTGACTCACAAATACTTTCAGCCAAGACCATGTGTTTTGTTGGTTTTACTGGTTTCTCCCTGGAGCCAATCTGGATGATCATTAACAGAGAAACCCAAACACATCCGGGAGCTGAGGGTAACAAACAGTAACGTTCATGTTATATTAAATATTTCTGTCTGGTTCACTGTCACAGGAAGGAGCGTTTGTCAAAATTATCAAACGATTGTTTACAGTGTCAGATGTGATATGTGGAGCAGCAACAGTTAATTCATCTGCTGCTATTTCACTCAATTCATCACTTTGAATCTTTTTTTAAGAAAAATGCCACAACTCTGATTTCTAGCTTAACTATGAAAATCTGTTGGTGTTTCCTCCAACTTTCATTAAGGGGAGTTGATTAGTTTTGGTTTTTGTCAGGTTTTTGTCAGGCTGGATTCTCCCACCGTATCTTGTACTTTTTCTGACCATTTTCGGGACTAAATGACGTCGCAGTAATCCCAAGTGAAAATACCTTCATCTGAGCAGCATGAACAGTACAATGTAAAGTTTAAGTCTGATTGTGCATCACCATAATGACCAAATCAACAGGAACCATCTACGTTTGCTCCGTCTGACATGCAGTGGTCTCATTGTTCCCTACGTTCGGTCGAACTGAATGTCAGACATATGAGGCTGCTCTGGTTCTAGCTGAGGGGTTTTCTGAGCAGTTCAGTCATTATTTGAAACTGGTATTAGTGCTTGATGTGACAAACTGGACAGGTCTCTGCAGGTCTGAGAGTAACTGTTCTGACAGAATCTACTCCACAGCACCTACACATCACCTCAGAGGCTCTGCTGCCGCCAGATGAGCGAGCATCCAAACAAATGAAGGACAAGAAAACAAAGACTGAAAAGGAAGTGCCTGTGAGACGACTTGCTCTTCACACAACTGAACAAAACCAATGCCAGCGATGTGTGGACGCTTGGTGTCTGTGCTGACCTGTTCCCAGAGCGGGGAAGGACACGGAGCTGTACTTGTTCTCCTCACAGACGCTCAGCACTGATGAAACCATGTCCTTAATTGTCGCGGGATCGTTCTGGCCGACGACGTGGATGATGTTCCTGCTCGACAGCCGCCCAGCCGACGTCAGGATCGTTGGCCTTGGCTGGTAGTTTGGAGAATTCACTACAGAGAGGAACCAGACAACACTCTGGTAAAAACAGAAATCTAATCTTACAATTGGACAGAAGATGTTTACTTAAGGAAACGTGGCCATTTTCAAACGTTTGTCACTTTTTAAAATCCATCCTGAAGCTGAAGGTCTGACCACAAACTCCAGGCTCTGCCAAACCGGTTCCCAGCAGATATACTGGGAGGCTCCCAGTGGTGACTGGGCTGAACTGTGTCGGTGTGAAGCAGGGGGTTCAGCTCAGGCTACGTACCGATCCGTGCACACTCCTGCTCGACCACTGGTCCAGCGCTGTCTAAGATGGCCTTGGACACTCCTGAGGTGCACAGAACAAAACAACTGGGGATTTTACAACAAAACACCAAAAGGTTTCATCGCTGAGGTAAAGACAGAGTCGCCAGGAAACTCCCAGTCCTGTTGGTCGTGCACATTCTCACTGATCACTTTCCAAATCAAACGTCCTGATCAGTGCTGTTGTGTTTTGGTTGTGGGGCCGGTTACAACAGCACTTTGTCATCTGATGAGGCTGGACTCCTGATAAAGGTCTGTGCAGGAGAGTCACCATCAACATGTTTTACAGCTTTTCAAACGTGCTTCTCTGTCATATCGCTGTAAACTGAATATGATGGTTGTGGTGGTGGGCGTTCAGCACCGTGACCAAGGTCAGCCAGCAGTGACACAACTGCCCGGAGCCCTCGCACTGACACAACACCACCACAGTGAAAATGTGACAGGACTCGAGCTGAACCTGAGGCTCCCACAGACCTGGCAAACAGCTCGTGAGCAATGTCCATAAAGTCAGTCTGGTCTTTTATATCAACTTAGTTCTATGGGAAATGTTTGTAATGTAATTCGACACAAACAGGAAGAAAACAAACAGTCACAAGAGTCACCTAATTTCAGGGTAAAGTCATGATTGGACGAGTTGACAATGACATCGCTGGTCTCCTTAGTGATGTCTCCTGACGACACTTCGAGGGTGAGTGGACCCATCTGCATCTGGTACACACCGAGGGAGGGGGACAGCACCGGGTCGACGGAGGCTGACAGACACAGACACAGAGAGAGACACACACACACACACA